ATCAGCGAATATCAAATTCTAGATTTAGGGGATCGGGCAGCAAGATGACACACATGACAGCATGTTCTTTAATGTGTTTATCTTCTTCTATCAGCTTAATCCCAATATTTAAATAACCCTATCCCATAGCACGTTTTCTGTCTCAATTTTTATTTACGTCAGTTTCTTTTCTTAAATTATTAATAAAAAAATATTTTTTTGTTATAAATATAAATTTAATTTGTCTTATTATTTACACCAATTTAAAAGGATTCTCTCTCTTTTTACTTAAATTAAATAACAATCATTAGTAGCAATAACAATAAGGCTTTGACGCAGAACAGAGCTTCTTCTTCCCCAAAGCTTTTGACGCGTTTGCACAATTTGTGGAGGTTGTTTTGTTGGAAGACTGGCTAAAAAACTAAAAAATATTTTTTGCTATAGATACTCTCTTTTTTCTGCTCCTTCCGGCCCTTCCTCGTATCCTTCCCCTTTTTTCTTTAAATATTTTCTACTTCTTTTAGCCTTTCTTTTCTAATCTTTTTTTAAATTCCAGACAAATAACTAAATAAATCCTCTTTTTATCTTTTTAATTTTACTAAAATACCGAGTCATTTTAATTCGGTTTCATCCTATACCCTTTTAAATTGAGTCAAATTGAGTCAAATAAATGTTGATTAGGTCACGAGGAAAAATTTTTAAAAATGTGTGGGCATGAAAAACAGAATTATCTTTATTCTTTTATGATGTTTTTTATCCCAAAATAATTAAAAAATATTTAATTTTAAATAATTCATGCAAGAGAAGCCTTTCTTAAATAATCATTTCGTTGATTATTAATCTCAGAAACTCAAAGGCTTCTCAATTCTTTAAATATAAATATAGTTTATTGTTACTTTATTAGCTTTTATTTTATTATTTGGACTTTTAACATTTATTAAAAGCTATTATTAATTTACTATAAACATTAATGTCTCAAAATTTCTAATTGAATGCCCGGGCATTCTATTTTTAACTCACCTTCAAAAGGGGCATTCTCTTATAGGGGGAGGGGAGATTGGACACTAGAGAGGGCACCAGAGGGGAATTTTATTTTTAAATCGCCTTAAAAAGGCCTCTCCAATGCCCTCGAAAGAGGCATTGGAGAGGCATTCTATACATTAGAGGGGCATTCTATTTTTAAGTCACCTTCAAAAAGCATTAATAACAAAAAAAGATTGATATTGTCCTTCAAAAGGGGGGGAATGGAGAGGCACTAGAGGGGGCTGTTCTATCTTTAAATCACCTTTTAAAGAGGCATTCTATTAGAGAGGGCATTCAACTGAAGGGAGCGGGCATTCTTTAGAGATTTAACTTTATTAAAAAAATTTTCTCTAATTTTTTGTTTAATTTTTTGACATTTTCTTCATTTTATTTTTTTAAATACCCAATAATTTTAAGTAAAAAATTCTTTTATTGAAAAACAATACTTACTTTTTTTGAAAAATAATTTAATGTCAACGGAAATAGGAGTAAATGAAGGTGTTTAAAATGGTATTAAATAGTATAAAAATGTTTCTATTATTTACACACCTTTCTCAGACAATTTTATATATTTATGGTATTTAATTTAAATAAAATTTAATTTATTTAATTATTTTTTTATTTTTAAAATTTCAAAAAAGTTTTTAGACGAGAACTTTATTTTAGTGAAATTAATGTTTTATTTTCCCTTTTTTGTCAATTAAACATTTCTCTTATATTCGTGCCATAAATTATATAATATTTCTAACAATAAGTGGGAGAGTTTAATAAATTATTTAAAACAAAATTTTCCTTTTTTCCAGTGTCATCTTTGCTTTTTATTTATTAATGTACATTAATTTTTTTCCAGATTCCTTATTAATGGAAGCTTTTAGATGGCCATTAAGCTTTCTCTTAATTTATTATCACATCATTTTATTTTTAAATGTAATCGAACATAAATTTATTCATCTTGAAGATCTAAAATTTTGATATTTTTTATAAGGATTACTCTTTTCCTAAATTATCGTGTAACCTGTATCAATTGACCTGTCTTAGATAATTTACCCAAAGTAGTTTTGCTAAATTACCGTATAACCTGTATTAATTGCCCCGTTTTAATTAATTACCCCACTTTAATTTATTACACCCTCCAGCAATAATTACTCCCCCCCTCCCCAACCTCCCTCAAATGCTCTACTACACGTTCAAATTTCGAAATTTTAACGCTCCTCAATTAATGTAAGAGCGTTCCTCGATTAATTTACTCGCTCGAGCGGGAGCTCGAGAAAGCTTTTAGATGCCATTAAGCTCGAAACAATAAATACCCGGTGCAGTTTTCAAGGTGATTTATTATCCTAGCTTCAACTTCTGTCTGTCCAAGTTTATTGCAAATAAATAGGAATTAGCCTTTATTCCATTCATTTCTAAATATTTTCCCTACAAAAATATTTAAACCCTACAATTTTTAATTTTCAAATAAATTATTTAACAAATTAATCCCCAACTTCCTTATATAAAAATATATTTTTTACCATATTTAGATAGAGCATAAATAAACACATTTTATTCCCTACTAAATATAGAATATTAAGCTTTAATTTACGTATTTAATGTATTTATTAATTAAGATGCACTCAATTTACCGTTTCTAGAAACTTAAAAAAATAAAAATTATTTTCAAAAAAATATTTTTTTATATTTTTTACATCATTAATTTATCGAAACATTTACTCGAATTAATTTAGAAAAATTTATTTTTGGATTATTTTTAGCTTTAAAAATTAAAAACCCCTCTATTTTTGTTCAAAAATTATTTTTTAAATTTTATTCTTCGTTAAAATAATTTGGAAACATTTTTAAGGAATTATTCCAAAAAACAATTTTAAAATTAAATAATCTCCAGCTTCTCTCTCCCAAAAAATATGGCTGCCACAACAGCCAACAATACAATTAATCTCTCATCAAATTCGCATCATTCAACCTCTTCCCCTTCAAGACCCTTAATTCCAACTTCAACCTCCTCTTCTCGTCGAGGAATTTCCTCCCCTCCCTCTTTACTTAATGCTCGTTTATTTGCACGTTTTTCTACAAGTGCAATTTATGGAAATCATCAACAAAATCAAGAACAAAAAATGGCGGAGCTTAGAGCGGCTTATGCTTCTCCTCAAATACAAAACCCTCTTACTAATGGGTGGGTATGAAAAAAAATATTGAGACGTTAGCTAAGAGATTTTTAAAAAAAATTTTTGCTTAAAACCCCCAAAAATCAGTCAAAAATCCATTTTATTTAGTAGCCTAACTTCAACTCGGAATGGTAGGAATGGTGGTCGCCCATCACGAGCTTCACTTCCAATGGCTGCTTTAACTTTATCTAATGATGTTGTTGAAGTAGCACAAAATGGGAAGTGTAATGGTGCAGTTATTGAACCTGGAACGCCTACAAAGACTGGTAAAAATATTTTATTTTTATTCAAAAATTTTGAATTTCGGAATTTCGTCAAATTCGAAATTTCGAAAAATATATTTTATTTTTATTTATTTTTCCCTTGCAAAATATATTATAAAAAATATTTTCTTAATTTATATTTTTAAAACTTTTGTATTTTTATTTTTGTATTTTTTTTCAAATTTTGCTTGCGTAAAAACAAAAATAGAGAAATTTTTGTATTTAAAAATTTGACTTTTAAAATTCGTGTTATCTCCCCTTTAATAAACACACATTTAACCTAACCGGAAGTCCCTTTTGTTTTAAACTGCCTCTTTTATTTTATTTTAATTTTGTGCCATGGGAACGGCGGAAATGAGGTAAAACAAAAAGAATAATTTTTTTAATTTCGTCATAGAAAATATAAAAGAATAAAATTGCAATGAGAGGAAAAGCGTCAAAGGGAAAATGGGGTTTTTTAATTTTTAAAATTAAATATAGTTTCGCGCACGTAAAAGTATGGGCGTTCTTTTTCACTTATTTTCACCTTTATTTAAAGGTACAAATTAATTTTTAAAAAGCATTAATAACATAGTAGTATTTTAATTATAAAAATAGATATACTAATTATTATGTGTTAATTTTAGTCATTTTTAGGGAAATATTTTTTTCATATTCTCATTGTCTGTTTTATTTTTTGAAAAATTTTTTTAATTTTAATGGCGAGAAAATTTATTTTAAAAATATTTTTGGAATATTTTATTTTTATTTTATTTTTAATAATAATTCAAACTAATTTTCCCTCACTGTATTTTCTTGAATAACACCCCGAGTAATTATTGCTCCACCCTCCTGCTAATCAAGGGAGGGTAATTATTCTAGGTTAGGAATTTGAACGTGTATTAGATTAGGGAATTTTGGGAGGGGTATTAATTTTTCAACCTCTCACTAGAGGAGGTTGAAACATACAAGTTGGGTAATTATTGAGGGAGGGCCATTAACATGTACAGGTTCTTCTTTTAAATCATATTTTTTTATTTAATTTTCTCCCAATTTTTTTAAGTGTTTAATTTTTTAATAAATTTTTTAATAAATAAATAACAAAATAAATTGAGTAATTAAATAACAAAAAGAATTTTTTTAAATGTCAAAATCTAATTTTTTTTCCCGCGCACCATGCACTTTAAAACTTAAATAATAAAAACAATAATGTCTACTTAAATGTTTACTATAAATATTTATTAAAAAAATTAAATTTATTTTTAATAATTTTTATGAGAATTTTTGCTTGCTTTTGTTTAAAAAAATATTTTTTTCAATTTTGTTAATTCTTTTGAGGAATAATCGTTGGTGTTTTATCACGAATTTTACATTAAAAAATTTTTTTCCTCTATACATTTTTGAAAAATTTTTTCTTCAAAAATACATTTTCATTTTAATTTTTAAAAATTAAAAAATTTTTCTCTTCTAAGGTCTTTTATTACTTCAACACAGCAAAGGCACTGCTTTAAGTACAACTTCATTATTACCAACAAATACTGGAAGCCGCCGTGGAAGTGCTGTTGCCAATTGTTTACCAACTCCTTCAATAATGGAATTAGCTGCAGCCGCTGGGTTGTTGTCCCTTTCACCCAGCGGTAATAAATTTTTTTTAAATTTTTTACAAATTGTTCCATATTGACGAAATGAGTGTTTTACCCTTATTGGCGAAATGAGTGTTTTACCCTTATTGGCGAAATGAGTGTTTTACCCTTATTGGCGAAATGAGTGTTTTACCCTTATTGGCGAAATGAGTGTTTTACCCTTATTGGCGAAATGAGTGTTTTACCCTTATTGGCGAAATGAGTGTTTTACCCTTATTGGCAAAACAAGTGTTTTACCCTTACTGGCAATTTGTCTGTTAGCCCTTTTTTCATATCCTTTTTGTCGCTGAAAGGAAAGATTAACTTTGGGACTCAAATAGACTTCGTTTATGAAAAGTATAAAATCAAGAATTTAAAAATTTCTAATTTTCAGATCTCGTTTTTGAATCCTCTGTTCTTGGAATTGCTTACTACGATTTTGTGCTTTCTGTTTCAGAAGTTTCTGGAGGCAGCAATTCCTCAAATAAATCAACAAAAACAAAAGAAGAAACAAAAATTTTAACCACAAATCCTTCAATTTCTTCGGATTCCTCATCTTCCTCCTCTCATACTTTAATTCAACGTCAAATTGGATCGCCTAAAGCCAAAATATGCAAACATGGAAGTGAACCAAGTCCTTCTAGAGGCTTTGACAAATCTGCTAGTAGTGTAGTGCCATCATCACTTTTCTCAAAAAATTCTGGAAAACAACAACAGAGGTTGGGTGCTGAACGAAAAACTTCCTCGCAATCTGCTAGACATGTAAGAAAAATATTTTTTGGGGTAATTAAGGCAATCACAAATGCTATTTATGCTAGACCCGATTGCCTCCCTTCTCGGGACTTACCTGTTTAAGTGCAATACAGGGACTATACCAGAGCCACTAAATTCCGCCAGGCATCAAGCCCGGGTCTCCCGTTAAGTGTGAATCGGGTGTTTCATTTTATTTTTAATTCAAAAATTTATTTAAAGGAAAAACCGGAGCCTATACCTCAACGTAAATGTTCTTCTCCACCTCCAACAACCACCACTATTCTTGAACAAGAAACATTACAAAGAAACAACACAAATAACAACGCTTATTCTAATTGTAACTATAGGCTGTTTCTTGCAAAATTGGATACTCACACAAATGTTGAGTGGTTTGAGAGTGTTGTTGTGCCTGGGGTAAATTTTTTAAAATTCTAAAAAATTTTCAAAATAATTCTTTTTCTAGGATCTACTCGAACGTAATCTCATTCCCGTCAATGAACTTTCTCTTTTAACTATGGGAATTCTTGTTTGGCGTTCAAGACTAGCAAATTCTCGATTGCTTTGTTTAGCAAATGGACAACTTGGTGAAGATTCAACAACTGCTTTAGAAGTAAAATTAAATTTTTTTTAATTATTCAATTTATTTTTAAGGCCCTTAAAAGAGCAGCAGCCAAATATCGTTGTAACCATCATGTTTTAACAATCGGTCAAAGGCGTCAATCAGCATCGAGTACTCATAGTTCTTGTTCCAGCTCAAGTTTTAGGTTAATTAATTCTTTATTTTTTAATTTATCATTTTTTGTTTAGATCCTCAAGTTCTTCTGGATCTAATGGACAGTCTTCTCAACAGGATGCGGGCATGAAACTTCGAGTTTTGGTAAAAGAAAAAGCTTTATATTTTTTTTAATAAATCCCCTCATTTTTTGTAGATGTGTCAATCTCGCAGTGAATTACCCGAATTACCCTCACAAGCTTTACGCGATGCAAAATTCCTTTTGGCTCCAAGTTCAAATCCTTTGCTTTGTTTATGTTTTCCATTGACTTGAAAATAGAGGATTTTGTTTTTAAATGAAGATATTATTTTAATATATAGCCCAGTCTTCTTTTAATTAATAAAAACATTTCACAAATGTTAATAGTAATTAATAATTTTAATTTGTATAAAATTGTTTAATTAATTTTTTGTACAATTTATTGTAATTTTTTGGTTTTATTCCACTTAAGCTCTTAGGCATTATTTTGACTTCATCAATATCAAGTACTTGCTCATCTTGCATTTTTAGGTCACAAAATGAAGACAAATTGGTGGATGATTCACCGAGATTTTGTTGTGTCCGTGTCATGGGAAGATTCCTTACAAAACCACAGCAAAGCGAGAGCCAAGACAAGGACACAACCATTTTTCTTCAAATACGGACAACTCACAATCACCAGGGTTATTTGATTTATTGCAGTTGGATCCTTACATAAGCATCTTCAGGTTAAATTAAGTTCAATAAATTAATTCTAGTCTTTTTCTGTTGACCTGCCAAAATCTCAAATTTCCTAAAAAACTAAATATTTGAACAATAAAATTCTAGACATTAAAATAAAAAAGAAAGTAAAAAAGTCAACAGGGACAGAACGGGATTTTAAAAACTGGTTTCACTTTATTAAGAAGAATGACAAATTCTTTGTCAATTTAAGCTCTAAAATCGGGTCATTGGCGGAAGCATTCCTCCCTAATATTTAATTTTTATTGCTTGTTTGCTTTATCATTTTGCTCATCAATTCACACCTCTTTCCAAATTAAAATATCTAAATTTTGAAAATCCATTCAATAACCTCCTTAAACAATCTCTACTTATTTGTATCTTGTATTAATACCAAACCCCCATCGAAAAAACCAAAATATTGAGATTTAACAATCTTCCACGTTTATGTAAAGTTTGGTATTTTGGCAAACTTTTTTACGTTGTGCTCCCTTACTCCTTTGCTTGTATCCTTCTACAAATAGTTTTTAGCCCATTATTTCTTCCTAATAACGGCTTTTCATCTGAAAATTAATTTTTACATATTTTTCTATTTATTCTTCAAATAATCACGAGGAGGCTTGAATAATAATAATAACAGCCCAAACCATTTTTGAAGGTGAAAATCAAAAATCGATCTCTCATTTTCTCTTTTTTTCACTATAAAATCTTCCTTCAAAAATCGCAGCACAACCCCAACAATTATATATCCCCCTTATTGACAGTCACAATTCATTTTCTTTACTTTTTTCCTACGTCTCTTAAAGCGCGAATGACAAATCTTGCTTATTAATGGTTTTTAGCTCTCTCCAAGATTTTTCTTTGATTATTTGTATATTTTTATTGCAGAAAAAAATAAACTATTAAAAACAACCCCCTCCCATTATTTTAAATAATTTTTTTTAATTTTCTAGAAGTCATAACAAAAACAACAACAATTTACCTCCAACGACCTACCAAAATAATTTTTTTCTTAAAATATGATTTAATAAACAACTACCGCTCAAATGGAACAACAAAATGGAACAACCAAAAACATTATTGCCCCTCATTATTATGCTTATGCTGCTTCCTCTAGCAAACCAATTATTTCGTCTCCAGCAACTTCATTATCACGTCATTTGCATCTTCATTCTTTACCTTCTTGTCCTTCATCACCAAGAAGTATAGTTTCAAAAATTAATGAGAATGAGAAAAGGAAACATTTAAAAGGTTGGTTAAAACAGAAAATATTAAAGGGAAAAAATTAGTTTAAAAAGAAAATCATCTTATTTTTATTTGAAAAATGCCCAACCAGAAATATGGTAAAAATTTGTTTGATATTATTGAACTGGTTTCAGTTCACTATCAATCGGTTCAGCCTTGGAAATAACTATAGTTCAGTTCAGAAACAAATATTTATTCAGAGCGTTAAAAGTTTATAATTATTTTATATTGAATTCAAAATAAGTTAAAGAGTTAAATTGCGGGGGAGTATTTATAGGGATTCTTACACAAACATAAATTGTTATTGAGAATAGCTAGGTCAAAAATTAATTATATAAAAGTGAATAACAAAATATATGATAAGGGGTTTTGGGTAAATATTTAGTCGGGAAAAATCCTAAATGCTTTTATGACATGGAAGGTCAAGAGTTTATCGGAGTTTATCATTTAATTATTTATTTCTATATTTCTTGGGAAAGGGCCATTTTTAGTTTGTTTGTTTGGTTAATTAGAGAGATGCAGCATCCCTTCCCTCTTTAAAAAGTCTATCAGTGATGATGACCGCCGCGAGGACGAAAACGTTTGCCAGAATTATTGCCACGGTGATTGTGTTGGTGACAGCGACAGTGACCGGACTGACGTTTCTCCTGTCGTGCTGCATAGAAGTAACGGGCTCGCTCGCGATTGTGACCGCGGTTATAGTAATTATTACGAGTACCACGTTGGCCACCAATCTCATTCCGGCCATTTTGATTTTCGTTTTGGTCAATCTGGGGGTTTGGGGATAATTCATTGTTATTATTATTTTCTCCCATATTTACCTGGATTTCAGGCTCTGGGGTGCCTCCCAGAGTCAATTCTTCCAAACTTTTGTTAGTAACAATTTCGTCTAGTTTCTCAGCAATTTTTATTATGCTGGCGGCCTGGTCGTTAATATTAGTTTCCATGTCTTTTAAACTCTCTTTTACAATTTTTTCAATGGTGGCAACAATTGAATCATGGAATTTTGGCAAAAGTTGCTTAATATATGCCTTTGTATTTTCGTGGCTTTCTTTAATAGTTTCAACAATAAATTTTTTGTTCTCCACTTTGGATGTGGGGTAAGTTTTAGTTTCTATTCCTTCCATAGCAGACTCCGACATTAAAAAATATTTTTAAAATTTAGAGGATGAAGCAATAATTTAAATAAATAGATTAGCTAAAATAAAAGATTAATTACTGAAAATGAGGGGGAGAAGTGGTTAACATATTGAAAAAATTTAAATAAAGGGGAATAATATAAAAATTTATTTTTACAAAGTATGTACACTCTTTTTTTTAAATTTTTACTCTTGATGAAGTTTTTGTGTGATGGGTCGAGAGGATGAACGGCGACTTTTTATATGGTCCAGGTGAATCATTTTCTCTTCCTCATTTATTTTGACGGCAAACATTCTATCTCCTATCAGTTGTATAATCGTTCCAGGTAGCCATTCTTTGTTTACCCACGCCCAAACAAGATCTCCATTTGAAAATGTTGGTGCTTTTCTCGGCGAGACTATTGTTTGTTTTCTTACGGTATGTCCTATTTTTCCCTGCCGGCGTCTCAGCTTATCAATTTGTGTATTCATTTCTCTTTTAAACATTCGGTGTGCCGGTGAATCTCCTATTTTAGGGATGGGTGTTGACCTATATTCTTTTAGGAATATTTTTATGGCTTCTTTTATTTCATATTTTTCTTCTAATAACTTTTTTAGTCCCTTTTTAAATGTTTGAACAGCTTTTTCGGCACATCCGTTAGAGGATGGGTGATAAATTGGGCTTGTCAGATGTTCAACTCCTTGCTCTATGAGAAAATTTTCTGTCTCCGTAGAGCAAAACTGTGTCCCATTATCTGTTATCAGGGTTTTTGGGTTGCCAAACAAACAAAATATGTCATTAAATGTTGATATTATTACTTTTGAAGTAATATTGTTTATTTGAAATGCCCAAATATATCTAGTGTATGCGTCTACTACTATTAAAAAATTTGTATTCCAAATAGGGCCTGCTAGGTCAGCATGGATTCTTTCCATGGGAAAACTCGCAATTGGCCATTTATTTTTTGGGTTTGATTTTGGTGGTTTATTTGAATTTCTTTGACATATCTCACACGCTTTTATGTAATTTTCTATGTCTTTTCCAAAATTAGGCCACCACAATAATTTTCTGCCTCTACATTTAGTTTTTTCGATACCAAAATGGGCTTTATGTAGGAGGTTTAATATTGGCTTTTTTAGACTCTCGGGGATAACAATTTGTGCTAAATTTTTCATAATTATATTACCTTCACAATATAATTCATCCTTTATTTTATAAAAGGGTTTTAATTCTTCATCTCCCGTTTCCTCATAATTTAACCAATTTTCTTTTATATTTTTCAAAATTATTTTTAGGTTTTTGTCTTTTAATGTTTCTATTTCGATTGTATTTCTATTTAAAGTTATTTCTTCTCCATTTAATATATATGGGATTTCTTCTCGGAAGTATTTTTCTTTTATTTTATTCCAATCTATTGCTGAATCTATTTTTACGCGCGACAATGCATCGGCCAATGAATTATTTTTGCCTTCTATATAACAAATTTTTGGGTTTATTTCTTGTATTTCCATTAGCCAGCGATTTAATTTTGCATTAACTTGGGCCTTTTCAAAAAGAAAGATTAGAGGTTTATGGTCTGTCATGATTAGGAGTTCAGACCCGTAGATTATAGGTCTAAATATATTCAGTGAGTGTACTATGGCGGCAAGTTCGCCATGTGTTGCTGGGTAATTGGATTCTGTCTTATTTAGAGTTTTACTGCAATAAGCTATGGCGCTTATTTTTTCATATTTTTTCTGCATTAATGCGCCAGCCCATGCAATATTTGACGCATCTGTATATAATATAAACGGGTAATTATAATCTGGTGGTGCGAGGCACGGTGGCTTTAATAACTCAGATTTTAATTTTTCAAAAGCTTGCTTCTGTTCCTCTTTCCATTCAAAATTTTCTTTTCCTCTCAAAAGTTTAGAAATTGGGGAAGCTTTTTCTGCAAAATTCCTTATAAATTTGCGGAAGAAGCCAACAAGTCCTAGGAATTGTTTAATTTGTTTACAAGTTTTTGGCTCAGGGAACTTTTTTATAATTTCGATATTTGAAGTTGCTGGTTTATATCCACTTTCATTTAAAATATGCCCTAAATAATTTATTGAATTTTTACAAAACTCGCATTTGCGGAAATTTAATTTTAGATTGTATTTATTCAGGCGCGAAAAAATAATTTCCAGAATTTTTAAATGCTCCTCCAATTGATTATGATAGATAATTAT